ACTATAAATATTATAATAATAAAAAATATTATAGTGAATAGAGATAGAACTTAATTATTAATTAAAATTAGTAAAATATTTTTTAATATAATTAATTAACTAGCCAACTAAACAAATTTTTGTTTTAATTATTCAAGTCATCTGAGTAGCAATAGGTTAACTTAGTTAACAAATCTTATATTAACTACTTGAGTGACTCTTATATAGATATTATCTCAGATAGCAAATATATAATAACTTATAACTATTTATCTAAATCAAATAGAATAAAAATCTTTTGATTTGGATCAATAGATTATAAGTTATATTTGATTTTCTACAATATGCACTGCATTACAAACTCTTTTACCTTAGTAAAAAAATAAATAATTTTAGGAAATTACTATTTCTATTCCACTTTTGTTAATACTACTTCAAAATATATAAAAGTACTCTAGAAGAGATATCATTACTAAATAAACCTTCTTTTTAGTATTAATTAAAGTTGTTTATTAGATCCTTCTAGTTCTAATAGTAGTAAAATCATTAATATCAAAATAGTATTTATTTTTTAAAATAAATTGAAGATTATAAAATTTATATATAATATTTTAAGAACTACTAGTCTAATCTTAATAATTTTACTACTAATAGAATCAGAAAGACCTAACAAACAACTTTAATTAATACCAAAAAAAGTATTTACTTAGTAAGAATAGCTCTTTTAGAGAACTTTTATTTATTTTGAAGAGATAGCATTAGCAAAAATAGGAGTAGAAATAGCAATTTTCTAATTTTATTAAAATAATTTCAATAATATTAAATTTAGATTTATTAATTTAGATTTATTTAAATTTTTATTTATTAATTATTATATTTAAAAATTTATTTATAGGCTCAATATTATAGACAACTTTTACAATTTAAATTAGATCAATTTAATACAACTTATAATACTGATGTATTAGCTAAAAAAATTGATATTTTGTATGCAATTAATTGGATAGTAAAAGCTTGGAATGATATTACAAATGAAACTATTTTAAACTGTTAGAGAAAAACAGAAATTTTGAAATCTTCAAAATTTGAAGAGTTATTAGTACTATCAATACTATCAACACTATCATCAAATAGTACTATTACTAATGATTTTAATATAACTTTACAAAATAAAGAAGAAAAAACTATTCAAAATTTAATTAACTAATTACTATATAATAATTTGTTAGATGCAAATGAATATATTAATATTGATAATTTAAATAAAAATATCAATTTAACAAATGAAGAAATAATTGATATAATTCAAGATAATTCAAGTAAAATAGTAGAAGAACTAGTTACAATCGAAAGTGCAATTAATAGTATAAATAATGTTTTGCAATTTATAAAACAAAATTCTGAATTAAAAATAGATAATAATAAAAAAAACTTCTTTATACTATTCAACAAAAATTTAATAATTTAAATAAGTAATTAAGATAATATAAGCTTTTTAAGATAATGTTTAAATTTTTATAAGCTCTTTTAAGATTATATATTTAAGTTTTTATAAGTTTATTAAGATTATATATTTAAGTTTTTATAAATTTATTAAGATTATATATTTAATTTTTTTATGAATTTTTTTTTAATATTATATTTAGTTTTTATAAGCTTTTAAAATTATTATATTTAAGTTTTTATAAATTTTTAAGATTATATTTAAATTTTTATAAGTTTTAAGATTTTTTTTTTTTTTTTTTTTTTTTTTTTTTTTTCAATTGTCCTCGCCTAAGCCTTTTTAATTTTAT